CAGTCCTGCAGGGTTCTGTAGAGTTCTGCAGGGTTCTTCAGTCCTGCCGGGTTCTTCAGTCCTGCCGGGTTCTTCAGTTCTGCAGGGTTCTTCAGTCCTGCAGGGTACTGTAGAGTCCTGCAGGGTTCTTCAGTTCTGCAGGGTTCTTCAGTTCTGCAGGGTTCTGCAGGGTTCTGTAGAGTTCTGCAGGGTTCTTCAGTTCTGCAGGGTTCTTCAGTTCTGCAGGGTTCTGTATAAATGGTATTACCGTAGTTTATAGCAGGAAGTTTGTTAGGAGTCTGTGGTAGTTTGAAGTTTTTTGATGTGTAAATGAAAACAACAAAAACAGGAAGTTCTTCAAAAACAAGGCTTTTATTTAGATACAACTCAAAAAAGGCTTTTATTTTGAAACACAGCAGTGTTTATGTCGGCTTGGTGAGGAGCTGAGTGGAGAACTCAAACAGATCTTTGTTGACTTTCTTCAGAGTCTGAACTTCTTCTTCCAGCTCCGCGATGCGAACCTTCGTGTTTTCACCGTCGCCAAACACTGACTGCAACACACAAACAAACAAACAAACATCAGAGGAGGCGGAGTCTATGCACTTCAACTGCCCGATGTTCTAAACTTCACGTTCAAACCATCAGCCGTTTCTGTATTTACAATCTCTGACCTCACTTCCTGTTTCACAGTGACTGAGTAAAGTACATCTAAGGCCCCGCCCCCTCTCACCTTGTCTGTCACAGCGTTTATCAGAGAGTACAACCTGCCGGCCTTCTGCAGGTACGACGCCTCCTCCTCCTGAAAACAACAAGGGTAACAAAGTAAAAGCACCAAATCACTTCTAAATAATACAAACCTAACCAAGAACAAGAAACAAACTACCGTAATTGCCGGTCTACAGCGCACACCTGAATATAAAAAGTTTGTACATATAGAAGCCGTGCACGTGTAGAAGCTGCAGGTGTTCATGTTGTAACATGACTGACAGCTACTGACACAGACGTGCAGCTCCTGTTGTAGATCAAGAATCAACCACCAGGTGGTGTTTTATAACCCCAAGGGTCGTCATGACAACTGCCTCCCTCACTCATGGTTACTGAATGGCCTAACACATGGTGAACACATGATGAACACAAACTAACACATGGTGAA